GAGTCCCCAGCGGCTTTTCCTCGGCTGCATCGTCCTCATCGTCGTCCCCTTTCGTCCGCTCGTTATCTGACTCTGTGTCCTCGTCATCCTTCTGCGTTTTGGGGCTAGGCCGTGCGTCGCGCTCGTTAGTTTTAGGGCGATGGTTACCGGTCTCTCTTTCGTTGTGCACCTTCCGACGCTTGTGCGTCTCAGCGCCGCTCTCCTGTTGCGCGTCGTCCATCTCGCTAGGGAACGTGTCCAACAACTCGTTCAGCGCGATGACCTCGGGTTCCGCAAGCTGTCGCTTGGACCCCGCGCTGCTACTCGAGGCTGGAAATGCGCTGGTTGACGCGTCTGTGCTTCTGCTTGCTGACGCGCGTCCGTTTGCTGTACTGCTGTCGGCGGTGGGCAGCGAAGAGCGCGGAGGAGGCACCATCTGGAAGGGAGCAAACCGTGACTGGTTTCTTCCTTCACGTTCAGCTTTTGGTGTGCACACCATAATCCATTTGTACACCACACCACCTTAATCAGGTACAAAGACAAAGCAATCTTGAAGTTATCGACACACGAATGACAGACTTCACTATCGCTCATTTTTGGCAACGTGGATGACCAAGACGCCGCTCATGCGCGCGCCTTAGCGCCACCTTTCCAGCAGACCGCTCGTGTAAGCTAAACCGCACTATAATTACAAACAGCATCGTCAAATTATTAAAGTTCCACCTTATAATTGTCCAGAAATCGTCGTTCCGCGTCTTGGGACGGCAACAAATCGCTGCCGGCGGCCCCAGTAAGAGCGCACTGAGTGCTCTATGGGTGGATACCTTCGGGCTGATGAAGGAAGGGTCCTTCCGCAGCGAGAAGGAGAACGTGGACGAGGATATTCTGCAGTGTGGCAAGGGACCATTCGCTGTGGAGGTGGACATCATGCAGCCCATTGACCCAGATAAGGCGCCAAAGGTTCACGTGCCTCCGCTCAACCACATTAGACGGTGGATTGACGATCTTCCAGCGTGTGTGAGAATGAGTTGACTGACAAGGGCGTACGCATTACTCCTGGAGGCATCCGCAAAGGTGCTGCGGGCATCAGCGTAGCCTTTATCCACCTTAAGGGGAACGACGCCACTGCCCTATCGGAAGGAGTACTCATTGAGCTCGTGCAGGCCCCGGACAACATCATCAAGGCTTTCGAAGCTATCAAGGAAAAATGGCCGTAACGTTAAAATCTTTGAAATTAAATGTAGGACGGCGTTCGTTTCCCAGATATCTATTTAGTGATTAGGTTTACTCAGATGCAGGTTCACGTCCAGTACTCCTTCAGGTTTCGACTTCTGGCAGGTAATTTATGAAATAAATTCCCGTCCAAATATTACGCAGGTATCGAGAGCTTGGATACCTGGAATAGTCATGTGTGCGCTACTTGGGCAAAAGTCGAAGTGATGAAGAACTTGTCTTGTCGGCATGGCAAACCCACGGGGAGTCAAAAGCTTGAATGGGTATCTTCTTGTCAGCAGCCAGGTATTGGCCAGGTAAATGCCATGTACTTGTCAAGTTACCTCTTACCACGACACATGCTGCAGCTACGAACGACGTCTGATCTTCAGAATTTCGAGTAGCATTGCCCAACGTAACTTCGTAATGCCAGAAGAAGTTACATCACTTGGCGCCTCGCTGGACACGCACTTCCACATGTGGAGACACACAAGACTCCACAACTATCACCATCTTTCTACAGGTTCTTTAATGTGATTCACCTGGAACACTTCCTGCATTGCCGATGCAACCTCGCTCGTAATGCCTTCAAGACGTTTAACGTTCTTGGCAGAATTCAGGCTGTCGTACAGGTGAATCACCTTCGAACTGCCTTCGATCACTAAGCAGCCCCAGTGAACTCCCTCAAAATTGACAGGCACCAACACAAACTGACAAACGGCTACAGAAGCGCAAATCTCCAAACGTTTCTTCTCCGGAAGCACCGGCTCCACATTAGCTGGTTTTTTTCTTGGTAACTTCTTAAGTGGAGGCATCGTCACCGTGGCATTGCTCTTGTAGCGCTGTAGAAAGACCGAAAAGGCGTGCATGGCGCCATCGTTGAGCCACATGGACCCTCGAACACAATAGATGTCGGCCATTGTGATGTCAATTCCGAAACCTGGCAAAGTTTTGTATGGCCAGGTATTCAGAATGTCATTAATTGCAGCAACCACTGGAGGTGTTTCGTCCACAAGTTGTTTCACCTCGTTATTAAGCCAAGTGCATAATGCAACGCCACGTTGGCACGTAAAGTCACCGTATCTCCGTTGTCTACAATAGCGTAACTGCTCACCACGTCCTGGTGCACGGCAACATCATATTGTGTCTTTATAGCAGCAGCTACCCATCGCGTCGTCATGCCCAGCACAGCGTTCATCTCCTTTGTGTATGTAGTATCACGTAACGTTCCTGGCATCTCCACCTTGGCGTAGTATTCCTCCTCCTTTCGCCACTGGTATGATAGTAGCGCTTTTAAGCTGGAATTCATAGAGAAATGGCCCTTGATCTGCTGCTTCACTTTGCCGAACAAGCTCTCTACACGGTTGTTTGTGTGATTCTGAAAGTGAGGCAAAGCAACACGATACGCCATGACCCACATGTCCTTGCAATTTTCCCAATTCTCTTGAAGATAATCCCACAAATCTTGTCGTCCTCCTCTAAGCGACAAACACTTAAACTCATCACGGTGAGTCACGTAATCTGCTTCCGTCCTAGCGTAGGTCATGTTCGTGATCGTGTGTTTCATTTGGGCCAGCACGTCCGCTTCAATGCTCCGTATTTACTCGACATCCGAATCGTGTCATGTAGCCATTTGATTACGTGAAAGTGGCATAGCAAAATGCGCGCCTCCGGCAACTTCTGTCGCAGAACTTCCACCTCTCGCATATCCTTATCCACAATCACAATCCGCAAGAAACGCCAGTGCTCATTTGCACGCTTGAAATAATCATTGCTCTTTGCCATCTGCCAGTCGCCGTTCGTCTCTAACAAAGAATACTGGACAGGCTGTCCATTGCCAAACTGGTCCATCGCAACCATCGAGAGTAACTGATAGTTGTATCTAGTAATGGAAGAAAAAAAGATAAATACCTGGAAAAAACATGGACAATCCCCGGAACTAAAAAAACAGCTATGACTTACTTGTTCGTCTTGTGCGTGCAGTCCATTTGAAGGACCTCAGGAAAGCTGTCCAACATGGATCGCATGTGCCCCGTCGTGATTGAAATGACCCCGGTGTTTCCACGCGCACTCTGGTATAACGAGGACACGCTCTGCGGAGACTCCATGTTAAAGTTCACGATGGCTTCAGCTACTGCGTCATCATCGGACAGTTCTACACCTAAGGTAATCAAAGTAATCATTAGTACGTGACCACCATAAAGCAATCAAACTTACGAACACACCAAACACTTACCGGAGCGACGCAAGCGGGCGATCAAATTTCGGACGTCTGTCATTGTCACGCGGTGCTCTGAGTTTTCGCGAATGTATTCGTAGATACTTGATGTCGTGGCCTGCGATTGCATCAGTAGCTCAACGCCAGGGACCAACGGGGACTGCGTAGACATCTGTCGAATACCTGGGTAGTGCTGGTAAATCTCTGGAGAAACCAGGTGGTTGTGAGAGTAAATTTCGCGCTTAAGAGCTATTCCCCACGAACCATTATCCATGCGATTACCCTGCGCAAGAAACTGGAAAGGACATTCGGTCCGCCGAAGGTTGTGCAGTGTGCGCTTGCCTGTCGACCGCTCACGCGTAGGCCACCCGTGAGTACAAATGTACTTGCGCTGATACGGACCCATGTCCTCTGGGACGAGTGGGATCTCCTCTTCCGGGAGATCTTTGTACTGGAGATGGTTCTTGAGTGCTGAGTTACGCCGAGCGACACTTATCTCCTCCTTCACGACAAGCACTTGTCGTGTCGCCCGCATATACATCTTGAGCCCTTGCTCGAATGCTGCCCAGGTAGTATGCTCCTCCTCAAACGGCGGAACGGGAACAAACAAATCGTCATCAACGTCTGCAACCGAGCGCTTCTTTCCTTGCCGTGGAGACGGCTTGTCGCTCATCGCCACATTGCTCCGCCTATTAGCAGTGACTTCTTGTTCAGTCTTCTCTTCCCCTTTCTGCACAGCCTCCGGCTGTGAAGCGGTGCCTCCCTCGTTATCGCCTGCTTCGTCGTCATCGTCTGCTTGGCCTTCATCACCGTCGCCTTCCAGCTCATCAACTTCTTGGTCATCTTGACCGACTCCATGGGGGCCAAATAACGGCGTCGCTGTCTCTGCTCGGCTCTCCCTTGCGCGTTGAATGGCTACTGCTTTCTCGGACCTAGTGCGGGCGTTTCCGATGTTAACACGATGCATGGTATCCTCAGCAGCAGCTTCCTCTCGGACTGCCGCTGCCGCGCGGGCCTCCTCTTCTCTTAGCGCCTCCTCCGCCATTTGCTGCTTGATATGCGCTGTCTTGTGGGTGCGAGCCATGGCGCTGTACGCGTTCGCCGCGAGAGGAAGAGCTGCCGAGTGGCTTCTTCTCCCCGGATGAGTGGCTGGGAGATCGACAAAAAAAAAATTCGAACGAAAATCGGTAATAAAAAACCCTGGTAACCTGATGAAATATTTGGAAAATACCTGGTCCGAAATACCCGGACGTGAACGTTGCCCTTGGAAAATACCTGGTCCGAAATACCCGGACGTGTCTTCTGGACGTAGTCGCGCATAGTCATCGTGCCTTGCCGAAGAGCGAAGAAGTCTGCCCGAATTCGGGATTCATCTTGCGGCGGCTCGAACGCGAGCCGAAGGTCACTCTGGAGGGTATCCAGAGTGGAAGAGACGTTGGGATCGACAACCAACTTGCCGAGAGCCCATTCCTTGGCTTTCCCAGACAACCGCGAGAGGAGGAAATGGACCTTCGCGGAAGG